AAAAAAAAAAAAAAAAAAGAAAAAAAGAAAAAAAAGACACGAATGGGATTAAATTTATAACACTATTAAAGGGTCTGTCTTGAAATCTTGCAGTGTTTGTGATCTATTAATTATATAGCATATAAATAGATCATCATAATATGAATCAATTTTATTGTGAACCATTAGGGCTAATGTGATCCGTCGTTTCTATTCACTGGATATATATATATATATTATATATCCATATATATAAATATATATAGATATATAATATATATATGTGCGCGCACACACACAGTAATTGGTTATCTTATATGTAATTAAACTGCCATTTAGAAGGCCTAGTCTTGATTTTAAAATGTTTTTGAAATTTCAGCTCTTGAACAGTACTGCTAATAAAACATATTGAGGAATAGTTATATTTACTACAGTGTCATATTTGAATAGATAAATGCTGCTACACCAGGTTATTTCTCAATGCAGGCTCTAGAAAAGCATTTCTTATTGATTCCATTACATATCAAGTCTTCCCGCGAGTAGTCAGGTTGAGACATTTTTTTCATGGATAAATCAGGTTAGAAGGAACAACAAGGGTAACATTTAAAACAGGTATATCATTCACTATGTATCTGTGACTCTACTATCTCTTCTGGTCCCATCCCCTTACCTACAGGAAAAGCTGTCCATCAATCTTGGCATTTTGTACTTTTCCTATACAAAGCATCATATTCTTTCTCAACACTGCTATCCATTAATTGAAGTTTGTTTTATTGGTTTATGGGCAGATAATATATAAATATTACATGTAAAATATATTTTTAAAGCACCACCTGTCCCTTTCAATCCAGCCATTTGTCACTGAGACAATGAGGTTCTCTCTACTTTCTAAGTGCGCAAGTATGAACTATGAGATGAAAGCTCTTTCTAGCCTTGCACCCATTCTTCTGGAAGTGCCAACTAATGGTAGCTACTGATGATGGTGATGTTTGGAGACCCCAATTCAAAGGACATATACTAGGACAGGAGTAAGAGTGGCCTGACTCCTAGGAGAAACACTCGATGACTTGTAAGAATCCAAAGAGTCAATGCATCCTAAGAAGATAGAAATAGAAAAGCATTTTTAGCTTAGCACTACACAGTACAATGCAAAATTAGTTCCTGAAGTGGGTCAAGAAGAAACCAAGTACATGTACAAATATATTACTTTTATCATTCATATCATATTGGAACTTTGCATTGAATTGCTGTTAGTCACAGGAAAACGGGGGAGGGCTGCTAGGCAACAGATCCCTAACAATGTTCTACAGCACCTTCTCCCTTTTTCCCAATACTAGCTTTCAATACCTTCCATACCAATTATCTAAGAGGAACAGATACTATATATATGAATTATGATTTATAAATAATTCCAGAGAACAAACCTAAGATAAAATCAATTTCAATTCATGTGAGCATTGACACTTTTTTAGAGGAAGATCAAATATCCATGGTGGTCCAGTCAACATTTTTTTTTCTTTTTTACCAGGGATCAAACTTAGGACCTTGTGCTTAAGAGGCAGGTGGAGGAATCACTGAGCTAAATCCCTGGCCCCAGTCAACAAATATTTCTAGGCGTCCACCACATGGCCCGAGCACTGTAAGGCACAAAGAGCAGACAGACACAGTGCCTGTCCTGAGCTTAGCAACAGTCACAAAAACTGCCAAAGGTCTCCTTCTCTCACATTACACAAACACATACCTCAAATCAGTAAGGTTTCACATTTTTAGAAAGAAGGAAAATAAAATACACCAGCTCCATTTTGTAGGTGGGAAAGCTAAGGTTGAGAACATTAAATGAACTTCCTCATCCACAGGAAGAACAGTGGGTAAGAACCAAACTCCTGAATTGCATTTTAGCTACTCTGTACTATCTTTGTCTTTTGTATAGGTTCTATTTTTAGATTTATTTTAGTCTATAAGGATATTTCAAATTCATAAGTATTGGAGTTAGGGGTATAGCTTAGTAGTACAGTTCATACTTAGCATGTATGAAGCTAAAACACAAAAATACAAACAAAATAGTATAGGTATTGATTTCATTCTATAATCAGATTATTATTTCAATGTATCCATACTGGAAGAGGTGTTAAAGTGCTTTCCAAATCCTGGCTCAAGTAAAAATTTTTGTTTGCAAGGAACAAAAACACTTCGTTTTGGTTTTTCTGAGAGAGGATTTTGCTACGTAGTTTAGGCAAGCTTTGAACTCATTATATAGCCCAGACTGGCCTGGAACTCATGATGATCCTACTGCCTCAGCCTCCCAAGTGCTGTGATTATAGGCATGTGTCACCACGCCCAGCCAAAAATATTTCTATATAAATATTTTTTTCTCAGATCTAAAATACTGTTTAACCCATATACTTAGGAGCATTATTTGCAATAGCCAAAAGACAAAATCAATACAAATGTCCATTAATGAATGGATAATCCAGTCAGAAAATGTGGCATATATTTACAATGGAATATTATTCAAATTTAAGGAACAGAACTCTGATACCTGATGTAATACACATGAACCTTGAGTACACTATGGTAGATGAAAGAAGCTCAGTCACAAAAGAGAACAAGTAATATACGACTCCACTTCTATGAGGCACTAAAGACAATCAAATTCATAGAAACAGAAAGTCGACTTGTGGTTGTCAGGGGCTAAGGATAGAAGGAAATAAATGGTTGTTTAGTGGGTATGAGATTTCAGTTTTACAAGATGAAAAAGTTCTGGGGATTAGTCAACAATGTAAAAATAACTGTCACTCCTGAACTGTACATTTAAAATGGGTAAGTTGATAAATTTTATATATGTTTTGCCACTTTTCTTAAAGCCAAAAAATTCTGCTACTTACCTCATTATGCTATTATTATTTAAAACTTTCCTTAGGACCCAGTGATTGACAGGAACAGGTTCTTGTGGTACTATGAAGGGAAATAAAAAAGTTTTCTGTGATATTTTGTTAATCAAGAGGAAATTTTAAAAAACAATGAATTTTATGCCACTGTTCATAGGCTTTGAATTACTCTTAAATCAGAATTTGCCATTCTGTGTTCTGAGAATTACATTTAGGCAGTAAGAATATAATGACTTCCTTGTTGGTAACAACATTGTTACATTTGTTTTTATCTTTCTCTTGAGGGTCAAGAAGCAACATAAACTGGTATTATCACAGCTCTCTAAAGTTACACATCTGAAACTAGAGTATATATGTTGTGGGGTAAACCTCTCCACGCATTCATTATTTTGCATTTGTATTCAATTTCTAGATTTACATGTATCTGCACTCTTATCCACTGTTACAAATCTGTTTTTCACCAAAAGTTTACAAGACATTCAATCTGAATCATCTAAGAAACCACTGGAGATAAAGTAGGGTTGCAGATAAATGCCAGGGTAGATTACAGAGCATGACAGATGGCATCCTTCCCATTCTTGCTGACTGCTGTCAGAGAGGAGCCAGAACCATGGCTCGAGATGAGCTTCTGCCCCTTAAATCTATGCTTTCATAGCTCAGTGTTCAATCACATGTCTGGGAAGCTGGTTCTTTAATATTTTCCCAAAAGAATATGCATGTTTAACTTAGTGCGATTAACTGATGATGGAAGTATTTAAAAGTTCACAATAGACATACATTTATAATTTTTAAATGTTCATCATATTTACTTTATAATCTTAAATATTTGTCTATTTAATGCTATAACATGTGAAGGATCTAAGAATTATGACAGGAAACTTTGCAGATGCTGCATCTGATTAGAGATATGCAAAATGCTACCACCTCAACAGAGCTGAAAAATCATTTTCCCAGGTCATATTCTTCATGAAAAAAATTATTGCAAGGGCAAAGGAACACTTCAGTATGCAAATGAAGACTCACTGTAAGATAAATGTCCCCCTTCTGTGCTCCAAGAGCATCTCTTGTGTACAACCTAAATCTGTTACGACCTCCCTCTCTTTACATCATCTTCTCTTCATAAAATCCTTCCAGGGAAAGAACTTTGACTTATTTGGCTTTGTACTCCCAGTGCCACCACAGAGCCTAGCACAGAGCAGATACTAAATGATTAGTGAAAGAATGAATCAAACTTTCGCCTGAAAACACATAGGTTTGTTAACACACGAGACAAATATTCAAGATAACAAAAGAAATGGGGAACGGAGGAAAATTTTTCCATTCACAGAACTTTTTCCGATTTAAACAGTGTCCATCTACATTTCATATTGAAAACAAAAATGTTCTTAATACTGAATAGGGCTATTTTGCTGTTCAAACCTGAAAGATGCAACGTGGCAGTGTCACTTTTTGAAAGTAGAAGGTCCTTATGAGAGTGTATCTTTGGGGATGGGAAAATTTGAGTCTCTAGAAACTGATGATATAAGGGAAATTAAACTTCATTTTCTCTAAGATATTTCAAAACTATTTGAAAAAGGATAACATAAGTTTCTCTGTAAACCAGCTGAGTAATCTCAGATTTATAGCAGTACAAGAAAAAAGACAATTTACTTTCAAAGGCAAAGCACAGGCTCAAAATGCAGCTGAAATTGATGAGGTATCTCCCCTCTCCCAGTTACACAATACTGAAACAAAGCAGTTTTGAAGAAAAGCCTAATTGCAGTGGAAATATTTATCATTACTCTCCCTAGTTTGAACCTAATCACGGTTTCTCCAACAGTGCAGTAGACTGAAATTCAAAGTCTGTTGCAAATACAAAAGCTTGCTTAAAAAAGTAAATGCTACCATTTGAAAGCATTTAAGATAATAAAATAACGCTAGGAAAAGGCACACAAAATACTCTTCCCAGAACTTAATTTGCGGATTCTAGCCCTTTTGACACAGCAGTTTAAAACATGAGTATTTTTTTAAATTTCAGAACAACTATAGTTTCAAAAATCAAACCACCAAATAACTGCTCCACGCAAAGTTCCAAGACAGAGTAAGACAAGCAAATACCCTCACTGGCAAAAATCCAAATGAACGCCGGAACATCCTGAGGTCGAGTCTCCTCACCTTGTGTACAGAGACTACAGTGGGGCCGGCCGATTTATTTGCTTGCAGTTCGGTTAGCACAAAACGGAAGGGACGTCTTGCTTGCTCATTTTCGTTTTTTTCTAACGCTAGAAGCGTGCATCTACCCTGCCTCCTCCGCCGGATTGATAATCTGGGAAACGGCGCCGCCTGCAAAGTGAGCGCCGGGAGCCGGGGGAGTCTCCGAACGGCCACTCCACCACCCCGTGACGCTCCACTTCCTGTTGGGCTAACGGGCGCTCCCGAGAAGCTCGGTTTTGTAGTTCCCAGCCCACCTCCGAGAGCCAGGCCTTCCCGCAGTAACTTTTAATCATTCACGTGACGGACCACCTGACCGCCCCGGAAAGGGGCCTAGGAGGGACCCCCCCCACCCCCGCCGGTTGCTGTCCCCCCTCCCTGAAGGGGGCAGCGAGGCTCTGAGAGCTCGGGGATGACCTGGAAGCCAAAGGGACGCGCAGTCCCGGGTTTCTAGCAACTAAGACTGTCGGGAGGCAACGCAGTAATCCAGTCTCCATTCAGTCTCTGGGCTCTCTTTAGAAAAGGGCTCTCTTAAATACCTTTACGTCTTCCTTTCGAAAGACACCGAACAGCGGCCTCCTGCACGGCAGGCCAGGAGGGCCAGGCGCTCTTTTCGGGCGGGGGTTACCACAGCGCGGGCGCCCACAGCGTTCACCTAGCAAAAACATCACTGGCACGTCCGGAACCGGGGGCGGGACAGATACCCACCCGATTCTCAAGCACCGCTACCGGCTGCGCCGAGATTCAGTGCCCCGGGGGTTAATGACGAGGACACCCGTGCTGACTCCAGCGCATCCCGGAACCTTGGCAGGCGGTCGGCGGCCCGGG